TAGGCTTGGCCGGGGTCTGGCCAAGGCGGCTTGGGAGGCCTGGGGCCACGGGGGTCGGGCGTCCTCAGGTATAAGGTCGGGCCCGCTTTCATGACCCCCAGAGTGACTGTCCCACAGCAGCCAGCTGCCGCATCCACTTGTCCACAAGCAGGTACTGAGGGCCTGTTCTGGGGCTTCGCTGGGTATACGGATATACGCGGCCTCAGATTTATAAGGATGAATGCAACAGTCTCGTGCACAGGGGATTAACGGCATAGATGTTCAGAAAATTCTAGCTCCCCTTACTGGATCCCAAGCAAAGGCCTTCAGGATGACTTCAACCTTATTTCTGAGTCATGAGGGGAATTTTCTGGAGCCCCTGGACTCTGGAGAAGGCAGTTCCTGGTCCACAAAGAAGGCAGGGTTAGGCTCATTCTTCCACAATTTGGAAGAAGCCAGAGGGAAAAATTACCATCGTCTTGGCTTCTTCAGGGGATTTAACTGATGCAACAGGCTAAGGGGGAGGTCTCAGAGGAGACGCAATGAGACACAAGAGGAGACCCATGGGAATCTCAGGGCTGGGACAGTGGAGAACAGCCTCACAGCACAGGCTTAGTGGAAAGGAAGGTTCTGGGATAGAGGAGAGATTGAAGGGGCCAGGGAAGTTTCACTGTGGGGCAGAGAGAGCGAAAAGGCCAGGAACTGCCACTCAGTGTGTGTGTGGGGGGGGGCGGGGGCGAGCAGACCCCCGAGCAGACCCCCGACAGCTGGAAATAATCCCCCCGGGTGTCTTGTAAACAGGACAAACCAGCCGGACAAAGACTTCAGAGCTGGGCGTTCCTCCCCGTCTGCCCCTCTCCCACCGTGGCATCTGAGCCCTGGGGTATTTTGAAGTATTCTACCCAGTGGGTGGTCACTGCCCAACATGACCTCCAGGTCCTGGGGAAGGGTGGGACCCTCCCGGGGCCTACGGATCAGGTATAGTCTTGGGTGAGGCCCTGGGGAGATGAGGTTTGAGTCCTCTTATTAAGAACAAAGAGAAATTAGCCAAGAGCAGAAGAGAGTTCTAGGCAGAGAGACCGGCACGTTTAGAATCACAGAGTTAGCAGAAAAGTCACAGAACTAAGTAATTCAGTGGCTGGAAGAATAGAGTATACAGGAAGGTGGAGAGAGGGGAGGTGGGGCCCTGTCTCCCTTCTCAGGCTCCCCCAGTCCTGCAATCACACTGGTCCCTCTCCTCACCTCCACCAAAGCCTCTCTGGTTGGGTCTCAACATTCCTCCCCCGCTGTACTCATGTGTTGGGAGCCCCTGTGCACCAGAGGTAGCAGTCCTCGGCACCAGACCTGCGTACTGTGACACGCGTGTCCCTCCCTGTCCATCACTACAGTCCTTACAACAAGGGTCATGGTGCAAACGCTTAGCAAATCAGCAGAGGCTCCATCCAGCCCGAATCAGCGCTGGCCTTATGAAAGCATCCTGGCCTTCTGGTCTTTCTGGCAGTGCTGGCTGATCATCACTGGCTGTGAATACAGACCCATCTTACAGTTAAGGAAAGAAGGCTGTGAAGACTTAGCCACTCAGCCAAAGCCTCAAAGCAGAAAAGTGGGGATTCAGACTCAGGCGTGTCTCCACCCAGTGTCTGACTGTGAAGTTCTCCGGCTCACAAATGAAAACTGGAAAGTGTGAGGGGTGGCGATGGCCTGACATACCACAGGGGCACCCTCACTGGCTGTCTGCTCTTGGGAACGTGGCAGGACTTGAGGGCAGTGCGGATCCAGGGAAGGCTGGTGGGGCAGGAGGACATGCTGGAGGGGACAGGCCAGCTGGGCTTTCCTGTCCCCAGCCACACTGCGTGGGCAGCTGGCAGTGGAGGCTCCCAGCGCTCACCAGGCCCGCAGCGCCCCGGACCTGGCTTCTGGGGGAGGACACAGCTGGCCTGTCCTCCAGCACGACCATTCCTATTGCTGTTCCCCATGCAGGTCTCTCTCTACCCCCCAAAGAGCAGGGATGCTTCCCTGATCCCAGCTGAAACAACAGGTCACCTGAGCCTTTTCCAAAATTCCTGAAGAGGCTGCCAGCGGTGAGTCAGTGCACCAGCAGCCCTGCTCACCGAGAACCAGCCTGGGGCGGCTGAGGCCCTCTGCGAGTCCGGGCGGGGGTGGGGGCAGAGGGGACCCTTCCCCCTTCCCGCGCTGGGGCCCCACCCCGTGGCTGGCGCTGCTGGGAGACAGTTCAAATCACTGCGTTTGGGCTGGTGGAGACCCTGAGTCCTTTAGTCATGTCTTTTCTTGTTCCACGGAGGACACGAGGCTGGGCTGGTGTTCATTTCATGTGGGCAGCCTGTCCCAGCCCCCAGCCATTGTGGGGTTCCAGAAGATTCTGACCATGGGTCCTGCTGGGGTGGACTGGGCCCGCCCCCAGCAATCACATGGGGCATGGGTTTGGTGTCTGTTTACCACTGTGATTCCTCCCGCCCTCCCCCCTTTCTCCCAACCTTCTCCAGTTCTGTGCATGCAGGCATTCCTTTTCTATTTTTGAGCATAGCTACATAGCTTTATGTTTCTTTTCCTATTTCTCATTACCTTGGATTTGGAGGTAGAGGGGGTCAACTCTGGCATGAGTTTCATCTTCCATTTTGCCCATTAGTCCCAGAACTCCTCACCAGTCTTCTCATTGCCCATTTAGCAGTGAGAATACACATCACAGGCTTGTGGTCCCAGACCCATCACTAACCAGCTCCTGACCTCACCTTGAGGTCCGTGCAGGGAGGGGAGAGGTGAGGTGGGCAGGATGCTGGACAAAGTGACACCTACACTCATTCTCAGCAAAGAGACTCACTGCCCCGCCTCACCCACGCGGGAGGACAGGCAGCCCAACATCACGGAGAGAGTGGAAAGTTCTGAGGCGCATGACGAGGGAGCCGGCCAGGGGCTAGCTGGCCAGTGTTTCCATCAGGGCTGCAGGCACATCCCTGCCTGCTGGGCGGCCAGTGTGGTGACCGGTGCTCCCAGACAGTGCTGCCCTGTCTGCAGCGTCCCCCATTTGTCTTGGGGAGGCTGTGCTAGCACAGCCAACGCCTGTCCCAGGCTCGTGCCTTGGGGCCAGGCGGACAGAATGGTGACAGGCTGGGGAGGTCAGTATGCCCCAGCTTTCCCTTTCTGGGCCTGCCCTCTCTGGGCACCTACCTCTCAGGCAGTGTAGTTCTATATTTTGATCTTAATTAACTGTGTTCACCTGCCTCTTGAAAATGTATGACCAATACAAAAACATCATTGATCACATTTCTTTAGCTCTTAATACAAACCACAGGAAAGGAAGAGGCATTTAGTTTTTTGATATGAGTACAAAGTCTAGGAACAGTATGGTGAGTGATGATAAACTTGGAATTCAGAGCCCAAATGTTAGGTAGTTTAGATAGAAATGAGCAGTGGGCAGGGGCAGTGGAAGGGAAGGGGAAGGGAACAATCTAGAACACAAGGAACCTGAGTTGTCAGTCAACCAGAGTGCAGGGAACCTGAGTTGTCAATCAATCAACTAATCAATCATCACGAAACCAGGATATAAAACCAGGAAAAACAAAGGAACGGCGCCATTTTTCCCCTCTTGGCCTGGCCTGCCCCCAGTTCTCAGGAGTGTACCATCTTTCACTATTATTTTTTTACTTCACTAATAAAAATCTTGCTTATATCACACTTTTTGTCTCTTGTCAAAAATTCTTTTTTTTCAGGTGACTAAGAACCGAGGTAATTCTCATTTTCCTTTCCCCGGTAACACAAATACCTGGATTCAAATTTCAACTCTGCTCTTACTGGCTATGTAAGGTAGTTACTCTCTGTGCTTCTGGTACTTCCCTTATAAGCCACGGTTGGTGATATCTGGTAGGATTAACATGTAAAGTGCTTAGAACTGCCGTGCCTGATGTGTAACTAGTATCTGGCTCTAAACCTTAGCTCTTTTTACCTGGGCTTGAAACCTCTTGGATCTACCTGACTCACTTGATGAAAAGTTACGACCTCTTTTGGGCCTGATCTGCAAAATGCTGTCCAATCTTTAACTCCCAAGGACCAATACCTGTCCCCCACCAATTCGTTCTTTTTACCTGACCTGGATCCTTAGTTTGAAAAGATTTTGCTTGCCAAACTTCATTTGTTGAATAATGACCTACATGCCATCAGGCATTCCCTTGGGCTTTATGAAATACTGGGAATAGCTGGCAATGCTCCTTACTGAGAACTCCCGGACCAGGTGAGATAACCCTGGAGCGACCTCCTCTCCTACCCCAGAGTCACATGCAGGCATCTCCACAGCAAGAAACAAGTGTCTTCAGATAGTCTGGCCCACAGAACAGGGAACCAAGTTGACCCTAAACTAAAAGATGTTTCCCATTGATTCTGGAGTGCTCTGGGGTCCAGGGACCAACGTCTTTCGGGTCATCATTGTGAGAAGCACTCATTCCAGCCAAGTTAAAAGAAGGACTTTTCCTGGTTCCCTGACTGTGATACGCCTTGTGTTTGGAAAATCCCAGAGTGAGTTATCGTGGCTGAGGAAGGCCATTTTTATGGTGACTGGCACTTTGGCCTCATGAGTCCTATGTGCAAAGTAGCTCTTTGCGTTTTCACGATGATCTTCCAAGGTAGTTATTATCATTCCCAATGAATAAGTGATGAAACTGCGGCTCAGAGATGTGATCTGCCCACGTTCAACTAGCTGTAAATCACAGCATTGTTTAACATTTCTTACATGTATTTAGTCACATAATTCTTGCTTTCCTCGGAAGCAGTACTGATCTCCACTTTATAGATGAGGAAACTGAGGCTTAGCAAACCTACTACCGATATGTGTCCAAGGTCACAGAGCTAAGAATTAGCCCGAGGGAGTGGAATCCGTACGTACTGCTCTTCCTCCATCAGCTGCTGGCAGCAAACCAGCTATGAGGTGGCCCCGCCCCCCCGGGCATCAGGTGAGCCCCGTGAGAAGGTGCTGGTCCTCAGCGGCCGTGTCAGTCAGGGTGGAAACCTACCTTGGATGTCATCATTGAACATGCAGTACTTGTTGCGGTATTTGTTGAGAAGACGGAAGGCATTGGCATTGGCAAAGTCTTCAAACTGGATGAGGCAGTTTATTCCAAACCTGTGAGGAGGGAGAGGAAAGCGCACATGGATCGCCTCCCCGAGGCTGACCCCCGGCAGATCCCAGCCTGCGGGAGGAGTGGGGAGGGGAAGCCCGGGGGTGGGGGGTGCACACGTCTCACTCACCAGGGTTTGTGCCACCTGGCTGGCTCCTGGCATCCGGGCTCTGCTTGCCCATCATGGACAAGGCTGGGGAAGGCGGTGGTGGGGCACTGGGCCTGGGGGTCAGCCAAGCCCGTATCATTGTTTTGAATGTGGGCTGGTGGCGCCTATGGGCAGACCCCGGAGGGGCCAGAAGAGCTGAGATGGTGCCCGTTCAGGTGGCCATAGGCCACCAGCAGAAAGCTCACTCCAAACCCAAGTACCTACAGAGCGCCCTGCTTCTCTACCACTCAGGCCTGGGGAGCCTCCCAACACCTCCTGGGATCCTGAAGCCTAGAGTCCCTCCACCAGGGACTCTTCTGGGTTCAGGCACTGTCTCCCAACAAGAGGCGAGGAAGGTTGGGAAGGGCCCCCGCATCTACCAAGACCTTGGCGAGGGTGTTCTCCATGTGCAAGTGGGGAAGAATCAGTTGGTGGGCTTGTTCCAAATGCAGATCACCAGGCCCGCCCCCTAGAGAGCCTCACTCGGTGAGTTTGGGGGTGGGGATCAGCAATCTGTATTTTTTCCTCCAGCTTTACTGAGGTTTAATTGACAAACAAAGACTGTACCTATGCAATCTCACATGGTTAATTTTTTTTTTTGAGTGGTGAGGACGTGTAAGATCTACTGACTTAGCAAACTTCAAGTATACGATATGGATACAGTATTAATTATTCACTCTGGTCGCCGTGCTGTACAGGAATCTGCATTTTTAGTGAACACCCCAGATTGTTCTGATTCTGGAGAACTCAGAAACCCCGCCTTGGTGGGTGAAGACAAGGCCCAGGAAGCTGCTTGAAATGCCTTATTTAAAAATCTATGCTAGAATTGCCTCCTCGATTTCAAGGTCAGGGAAAAGTTTCTGTTTCCTTCAAAAATGACTGGATTGGTAACCTGTGTCTCCTGTACCACTGTCTGTCAGGAAGCAGAGCTGCCGGCTACCCTCCCACGGCAGGTTCCCTCTGCCGAGGCCTTCTGCACATGCCTTCCTCCTGACTCCCATCCTGCCCTTTGAGCCTGCTGTTTTGGTTGCAATGTGTCTCTTATTGGAGTCTTTCTGGAAGCAAGTGTGATGTAAATTACTAAAAATTACTTAATCCCTGGGCAGAAAAAAGATCTCATCTCATGGGTCCATTTGAGACTGACAGTATCTGAGGCCACGTTCATTGAAGAAAAAGTGCCCTGCTTGATCCACACGGAGTGTCTGGGCATGTGGCAGGGAGAAATGCCTGCCGTTCCCAACCCGGGATGAACCAGAGGCCTGGGGCCGGCTTGGGAGCAGCTGTGGAAGGAAAGCCGTGTGACCTCGCCGGAGAAGGTGGGGGGCACACCCGTGGCTATCAGGCCATCTGTCCGAGGGGACTCGAGGCGGTGACGGGGGGAGCAGCACTGAAGTGTCCCAAAAAACATTTTTTCCAACCTCAGAATTGTGTGCCTAGCTTATCCTGTACAATAGAAATGCCAGCGGGCAGGCAAATACCTGCTCCTACCATGGTCCTTCCAGAATCTTGTGAGTTGGAGCTGCAGGTGGGAGGACTTGGAGGCAGTTTCATGCTGCAGGGGCAGAAGTGGAGAGGCGGTGACTTGTCACAGGCCAGCGCTCAGCGTTCTGGGCTTGGGCCAGGAGGCTCAGGGCCCTGACCAGGTGGTGCCACTGCACTGAGTGCTCATACGCCTGTCACTTCACCTCTCTCTTCTGCCTCAGTGCTCCCTCTGTCCACGGGGACAATAATGGTTTGACCAACTTTGGTGGGCTGTCGTGAGGAGAGGAAGCTGGGGATGATTTTTAAATTGTAAAGTGCTAAGCATGTGTCACACTGGCCACAGTTCTTCCTCTCAGTCACAGAGCAGGTGCTGGGGGGGTACGGGTGGGGAGCTGTGTTTCCTGACCCACCATCCAGCCTTCTTCATCTTGTACAATGAATAGAAATGGTTAAAAACAAACAAAAACCCTCCTTCAGTGCACAATTCTAATGCTAGGCTCACCAAGCCAAAATTTACTGTGAATTTCAAGTATTTGGATAGGGAGTGGGGAACAGAATGTCTTTGGTTGCTGGTGACATTTTGATCTATAGAACCCTCACAAGACTCCCAGTTTGGCTGCCTCACTGGCCTGGAGCTAAAATGCTGAAAAGGTCAGACGACAAAACAATGTGATACACGATCTTCTTTTCTTCTCTGTCCCCATCTCTTACACACACACACATTTGACCTTTAAGCAACACCTCTCTGAGGTAAAAACTAAGGCAAGAATTATAAATAAATACCTTTGCTCAGTGCACTATTACTCTTTCATGTGAAACTCGGTTTTGCGTAAGAGAATCTTTCCAGGGAGCAATTGATGAGCTATAGAGTAAACTCTCATTCATTCAGGTCACTTTAATCCTAATTTGGAATTGCTAAAAGGCTATGAGAATTGTTCATCTGATAACCTAGACTCCGAGTTCCTAGACATCTTTGGATTTAAGGACCTCCAGGACCCCTACCCACCCTGCACACTCTCCCCATGGCTGCTCCCTGGATCTTCTGTCACCAGGTACCACTTCTAGTCTAGAATTTTCTACTGCCCATTTCAGCCCCCGACCATGGCCTCTCCTTCCACCTCCCTCACTTCTGCTATGCCTGTTCTTCACCTCCAGTGAGACTTTTGGGCCCTTCACCATTTTCCCAGTCCCTCGGCCCCTCCCTTCAGGCTTTTCATGAAACCAGACCACTAACTAACCAGTCTGAACCAAGGGTGGTTACTTCAATCTCTCTGTTAATATCATCTGTCCATCCATCCATCCATCAACCCATCCATCCATCTATCCATCCAAAAGCACCTACTGAGCACCATAAGCTGATATTGTAGTTGTTCAGTATATGTTTTAGGAAGGGGTGGATGCGTGAAGAAGCTGATGGAAATCTAGTGTGACTTTGCCTGCCAATTTGTTAAACTAATTAAAAACCAATTAAGAACAGAAACAAAATTTCAAAGTGAAAATTTAAATAGCTTAGGTGAAAAAAAAACCACTTTTCTCAATTCATCCATGTATATCCAAATACAGGTAATGGACTTTCACCATAGCACTGATTTAAATGTTAATTATAATTACCTTACATAGTCATTAAAATACTCATATTAACAACAACAGTCACGAAAACAACCACTGAAAGAATGGCAGGTCCTGACCACCGCTGACATGCTGGACACGATGCTGAGTTCTTTACACACATTATCTCAATTAATCTTCCCATGACCTTAAGAAGCCATTGCTATTTCAGAGAAGGAATCCTGAGCTACAGGATGTTAGATTATTTGCCCAGCGGTTATTTATTCTCTTACCATTGGGAAGTGGTGGAGCTGGAATCTCAACCCAGCTCTGTCTGACTCTAGAAGTTGGTTTACTTTTAATAGCAACACGATTTTGTAAAAGATACAATGAAGTAGATGTTAAAGTTGGATTTCCTTCTCCAACGAGAAAGACAGTGACACTTGGTGAAGAAAACACTGAACCAGGAGCCAGGAAAACCGTGCTCTCTCTGTCTCTGAGTCGTGGGTGAATTCCCTTTCTCCTGGGCCTCAGTTCCTGCTCTGAGAGTGGGGAGAAGCAGGAGCTCCTTAAGGCAGGGCTGGAGCAGGGCTTACTCAGAGTAAGTCCAAAGCAGGGAGGCCTGACCATCCCTAGTAAGAGCGACACGTGACAGGAACATCAGTACTTTTGAGTCCAGTTTGAGCTGACACACAGCAGACCAGCGGGGCGAGCGGGGCTGAGGTGGCCACTTCCAGGTCATGGGGCTGGAGCAGCAGCAGGAGCCACCCCGCCAACCCCAACCCCAGAGGGGCCCCGCTCAGGCCCCCTACTCAGGCCCGGGGCAGTTTCCTGATTTTAGTGCGGGCAGCGCATGGCTGACCTCCCCTCCTGCCAGAAGCTGCCCCTCACCAGGAGGCTCCTGCTTGTCTGTCCTCCACTACACTTTTGAACTCTTCACCCTGAAGCCCTGGCAGGGGCTCGGGAACATCTGATGCTTCCAGAACAGTGGAGAATTCCTGCAATGGAGAAAGAGGCGCCTCCCCAAGCCACAGTAGGAGCTGCCCAGACTTCTCCACCCTGGGGACCCTGCTGGGAAGTGGCCTTGGTGCTGCCAGGGAAGGCATTCTGAGGCCAGGGCTCACTTAAAGACACAAGGCTGATGGGTGGATGATAAATTTTTTCCTCCAGCCCTCAGGCAAGAGGAAGCCTGAAAATGGTGACCTGTGCCTGGGAGCCCTAGGGAGCTGTGCGTGAAGCTGTGATGAGCTCAAGCCACAGAGCCGGGTACCGGCCACCTTGGATGCAGCCCCCTCCCCGGGGTGGGGGTAAGAAGATTCCCAGGAGGCTGCTCTGCCCGCCCCCCAGCAAGCTGACCAAAGGCTGCGCGAGAGATGTGGTGAGAGCAGAACATTCCAGGGGCTGCAGACCTGGTTTCTTTGTTCCAGAGGTCAGGACCTGCCATTCTTTCAAACACCTGGGTCTGACTTTTACAGGCCTGAACAAACACAAGGGACCTGGGAAGAGCAGGTGCATTTGCTCAGCCTGCCTCCAAACAGAATGACTAAAATCTACCACTCATATTTCCATGGAAGCCCACTCTGTTCACTCAACAAACAGCACACACAAGGCTCCCCCAGCAGCGTGCACAGCGAGAGCACCAGTTACACCCCGTGGAAAGCTTTCTTTTATTTATTTTTTTCCTTCCAGGAATTAGAGCTGACAGAATCACGAAAGCTCTAGGGCTCTGTTTCTGTTTTGCACATCCCATTATACTCTAGTCCTTTGAGATGCTCTCAGAGGGTCCATAGTTAATCCTCTTGGGAATCCGCTGAATGTTTATATAAT